TTTTTTTTTCCGCGCGAGCGTCCATTGTCAGCGTGGGGAAAAATAATATATTTTGCGACGATATTGGATAGAAACAGAGACGCAGCCTACTAATCCCAAAACGAAGACAATTTTTCGACCTTTTCCCTTGGGCTAGAATTCTTAAATGAGGCACAAAAAGAGAAAAACAACGGAAAAGGAGATTCGGCATCAGCGCCGTCACGATTCGCTTCAGTAGATATTTTTGTCCGTTTTTGGCATCAGATTTGATGCACAATTCCACCGGCTATGTTCTAAAACAATTGGTTCATGCTTTCAGCTGTGCACTATCGAGTTATGGGGCACGTGGAAAGTTTGGAGAGCACTCAAGAAGCTAGAGTTGCTCTCGGCTCTCGCCTCGGGAAACTCTTACGCTTCTTTTCTGCTCTACAAACTTCCCGCGTGCTCCATAACTCGATAGCGCACGCCAAAGCATGAACCAATTATTAATCATTCTAACTCCCCTGTGTATGGACTTACGGCTGATAATGCGAACACGAGGAAATGCAGTTTAAATACTTTCTATTGAATTCAACACAAGGAGAGTAACTAGCACAGAGCTGAGTACCTGAAAAGTGTCTATTGTGTCTATCTTTAGTTTAAATATACGTCGATGTGGTTCCCTCAAAAGCAGGATATCTCAGACCTGGTTTACACTAAAGCAGAGTTGTTTTTCCGAATCATGACCAATCTGGGACCAATTGGTAATAGATTCATTTAACCTTTAAAACACCAATTTGCAATAAAATCAGCATTCCGATACTTTGGAGATTTAAAGAAAGCCGCCAAGGTGGAGTTAAGAGAAGATATTTGTATCCGAAGACTTTAAAAAAATGTTTTAAAGTCTTTTAAGTTTACTTTACTTTACTTTATGGGAAAGTTTGCATGTATAATCGGCGACAAAATTGTCAACATATCAGTCTTTCTTTTGCCCCCGCTAAGCTAACCTATTTGCCTGAATAGTCCCAGGCTCTTAGAGAAATATTAACATCATCAGATATCAGATGTTGAAACAATTATTGAAACAGTTGTTGTTCGCAGGTCATAGGTATGGTTTCCTAAGATGGATCTAAGTCGAGGACACTATCCATAAGGTACTGAATATGGAGATCATAGGCATAGTTTTCCATGATGGATCTATGCAGGGGACACTATCTATGAGGTCCTTAACATGAATATCCTGGGCATGGATTGTCAGGAACAAATTATGCAGGGGAAACTATCTATAGGCATGCTGAACATGGATATTAAAGACATGGATTGCCATGTAGGAATTATGCAAATAACACTACCTATAAGGTTCTGAACTAGAGATCCTACCCTACCTGGATTCCTAGGGAGGATCTATGCGGGAGACTGACACTAGATATAAGGTACTGAACGTAAAGATCATAGACATGGACTGCAAGGGAGGAACCATGTAGGAGACAATATCTCTATTGGACAGACACTGCCAGGAGATATTATCTCTACTGGGCAGGCATTGCCAGGAGATAATATCTCTATTGGACAGCCACTGCCAGGAGATAATATCTCTACTGGGCAGGCATAGCCAGGGACAGGGCTCGTGTGCTTTTTCAGGAACCCAACTCAAGGATTTTTGAGGACTTTTTAAGTCATTTTTAAGGACCTTGGCTCTTAAATAAAAGGACATTTTACATTAAATAGGAACTAATAGAAATAGAAATATTATATCACGCGTCAAACATCATAATCGGATGCGGAATTTGAAAGGAAAACTCGTTCTCGCGATTTGTGTTAAAAAAAGTTACACCTTCCACACCAAAAGCAAACGAAAACTTCGACTTTGATTCATCCAGACATAATTTCAAGGACTTTTCAGAATTTTTCAAGGACCTGACCGTAAATTCAAGGGTTTTAAAGTCCTTGAAAACAAAAAATTAAATTCAAGGACTTTTAACGAGCGTGGGAAGGCCCTGCAGGGAGGATCTATGTGCAGATCTGGAGTTCTGAGCATAGAGATCCCATTTATGGATTCCAAGGAAGGAACTGGGCTGAGAACATTACCTAAAGAAAAGCTAAAGGACTGGTAAACATGGATATCGTAGGCATGGTTAGCAGAGGAGGAACTATGCATATAATGAAACTAGCAAAAAAATACAGCAAATTGATGTAATAAGAAACATTCATAAAAGATTGATAAACTACTCTTTCCAACATAAAAAAATTAATAACAAGTCTAATCAGTGTGATTTACGACCAAATCAAAGGTGATTATAGAGAAAATACGTTGGGCAACTCATTATATGAGAGCTGAAGCACGAGTATTAAACCTATTGCCACAAAGTTTCTCAATGTTTTGTCTTATGAAAAGCAGTGTTGCACCTGGATTTAGGACCCAATACTATTTATTCATTTCATTTCAAGCAATTCTACCAAAAGTTAAGTTAGAAGTCTTGAATAAAGGTACATACCAATCTTTGTCTTAAATGTTCCGACATCTGGTTCACTGTCTCCTTGTTTGTTGACAGCAAACAGTTTCACTTCATACTCTGTGTCATACTCAAGATCAGTTATCTTGTGGTGAGTTTCCACAATGTTTCCTTATTGAACCAGTTCTGTGGATCCTATGATTGGTTGTTTCCTCCATTCCAGATGGTATTTAACACTGCAATCACTGCTGTTGGCCTCTACTTCTGACCACGTCACAGTGAAATCTTTGTCAACTTCACTTTCTACATTTGTGATGGTTGGTTTCTCAGGTAATTCTGTTCAAAGTTATATATTTTTAAATTTTGTCTCTGATGAAAGCGAAATACTTACAGTAACACTTACAGGGATTGTGGTGGGTTTATCAAGAAATAATTATTGTTTCCCCCTGTCAATCAAAAGTTCCTGCATCCGCCTCTGCATTTACTTAAACAGCACCAGCAACAGAAAAGTCACTGGAAAGGTAAATATTCAGTGCAAACCTACAGTTACAGAAGACAAATGCAACAAGTCGCAAAGAATGCAAAAAAAGTCCTAAAATTGTAACTCTCCGAGCGAGAACATCAAGAAGATGAATATTTCTTCATCTGCAAGTCATAAACAAACCTCTCTGTAATAAAATTGATTACTCAGGGCAAATGATGCAGCATGGAGATCATAGTATGGGTTTTGAGGGAGGAGTTATGCATGTTGCACTATTTAGAGGGTAATATAAAGATGGAGATTATAGGATCATATAATCATAAGTTCCCAGACAGGAACCATGCAAAGGACACTAATAGAGTAATGAAAAATGCGTGGACATCACTGGTATGGATTGCTGAGCGGGATCTATGCGGAAGACATCATCCATAGGGTCATGAACTACAGATCATAATTAGGGTGACCACGCAGGAAATATGAAAGTGACACCATTTAGAGTGTAATGAGGTTGCTAATGAGGATTTATCCAGTGGACACCTCATATAGTGTGATCTATATGGTGATCATAGTATAGGTTGCTAAGGAGGATCTATGCAGGGGACACTACCTATAATGTGATGTGTATGGAGATCCTTATATGGGTTGCCAGGAAGGAAATATGAAGTGTAGATGGGAAACTAACTATTGTCAGTGGTGCAGAACTTTAGGGAAGATCAACTTATGTGACTTGGAACTAATACAGAAATTCAAGAAACATTTGGCACGAGTTTAACTAGCAAACTACATCTGTATGGTGCAAAGTTGGAAAATGTTTTGGTCATATGCTAGAATATAAAATGATAACTTAAGGCTCACAATGTCGTTTTCAGCAGTTTTTAGTTTTATCCAAACTCAACTTTTAATTTAAAAGTAAGAAAAGAAGTATGATGATTGGTACTGGAGTTTGAGAGTAAAATTATGATGCAAATTTGGATGCAGTCTGTGAATTAGCTATAGAGTTATTACTCTTCTGGTCAGAGCTGCAGCATGAGTATTAAACCTGTTCCCACAAATTTTCTCAATTCTTTGTCTTATGAAAAGTGATGTTAGTCCTGGACTTAATTATTGCTGAGGATGGGGAAAAATACTTTATTAAAAATGTGAACAAGGGAAATTCAGTTTAATATAATTTCTATCAGTTTCAGCACAGGGAGATTAACTAGCACTGAGCTGAGACCTTGAAAGTGTCTATGGTGTCTATCGGATAACAGGTTGATCCCTATCCAAAGGATTGAAAAGGTTGTTTTGTTAAAGTGTTATTTATTCCTCCCTTAAATCAAGTATATTATGACTGGTTGTCAGCTGATAATGTCCACAGCAGATTGGTTGCCTAAAAAAAGCAAAATTTGGCCCAGAAGTAAGCTTTGAGGGAAATTGTGAAATTATGAAAACACTCTCTCAGCCAAGAACATTATCAGCTGACATACCAGCAAGCCATAAAAAAGTTTATTTTTCTTTTAAAACCCAACCTTTAAATTTCGCAACTCGATCTGTAGGCTACTTTGCATTGTAGCAGAACAATCACAGGACAGTTATGATACATTATATGATCCCTGTTAGTTTTAGAACCTTACCCCTGTTTATTCTATTAATTTCTCCAGGTTGCTTAGTTCTTTTTTTGTCACTGCTGCAATATTGTATAGCCGACTAACATTCCATTATCGCTGTTTTGGCAATGATGAATTGGTAGTAGTTTCGCTTGAAGTTATTTACTTACCTCCAAGTAAAATGTCAAGCGCAACATTTTCTCATTTTCTTATTTCTCTAAGCAACTTTTGCTCAACATTTTCCTTTGTGCACCACAAGTAAAGGACTTCCCATATGCCAAACACCATAAACAAAGCATCCACAGTGATAATAACTATTTTAAGAGTTGATTTCTCCTTGTAATGAAGATCATTACATTGCAATGTCATTTTTGTTGGGTTAAGTGAACTTGGCATGGTTTGATTGTTCAGTTCTGTGGGGTCTGATGAACTTCACACTGAAGGTAAAAAAAATTGAAGGTAAATCCATTGTGTGGTAACTGCAGGACAGCCCCAACATACCACCCATGAAAAATATTCGAAAGAACACATGAATAAAGTAGAAGCAGCGAAAAGTCTTTCTGATTTTTACATTGCCTGTTGATCTTTGGATCTTTCGAAGGGTCACAGCACCAAAAATTGCGAAGCCAATCCAACAGGCACACAAAACAGTAGAGGTTTAGGCCACAACATTCTAAGGTACTAACCCATGAGGCCAGGTGATTGTGTCAATGTACTTGTTATAGCAAGATTTTCTGATAAAATCACTGGGTTTGGGATCGCAGCTGAAGTTAAGTCTATCACTGGCATGATAAACTTGTAGAGTGACAAGAATGGCACTCAGCGATGCAGTGATGAAAATACACTGAAATCCTCCAAGAGCAGTTTGTGACTTGACAACCAGTTTACACCACGTGCTATCAGTCATCTTGCATAAAGTATCAGTACCTAACAAGGAGCACAACGAAAATAATTATTAATGTTAATGCACCAAATGACTTGATGATTTGTATAAGTTCAACCTCTCTTCCAGGCCTCACCTAAGTCTACTTTGAAAAGAGCTTTTCCAAAACTTATTTAAAATTCCTCTGAATACATCAGTATTCAAAGGCAATTATTGGTGCTGAGCAAACATAACTGGACTCTGCAAAATAATAATTAATGTGTCAGTCAACATCTGATGCAAACACTGCTAAATGTAACATTATATTTGCTGATCTCAGCACAAATAAACAGACAGTTAGCAAATAAGAAAAATCTTATTTTGTGCACGATCTTCGCAGTAAAGAGCGCAATTTTAAACAGTAGTGAAAATCAGACCTGAAAAAATTCAGGCCTGTACGGGATTCAAAGCAATGACCTTTGCGATACTAGTGCAGCGCTTTACCGATTGAGCTAACAAGCCAACTGGGAAAGGTCATCAAATTGGTCCGATATAAACCCATAAGATTGCTTAAATAGTGCTCTTTACTGCAAGGATCATGCACAAAATACATTTCTATAACCCCAGTTCAGATATATGAATTTCATATATTCTTTGTGTAAGAAGAATCTTGTCATCTTGTCTTCAAAAAACATGCAGAAGGTGTCAGGCTGTTTGTTTAGCAATCACAAAAATAGGAAATCCATGTTAAACTTAGGTGCTATCAAAGGAAGAGAATGTTACCAAAATGCTGGCCAGCATGGCATGCAAGGTTCAGTGCGAGGCATGAAGACAAACTTTTCT